GAAATTTCATTAATTGTATTAAAAATATATCCAACATTAAAATCAAATGCTACATTTATATTAAATAAAAACTAGAGGCATTTTGAACTGTATTTTCATAACATTCAATTCACATTTCAAACAGTTCAGTGAGCAAATGCTTCTTCATCAAAATTTCAAACATTTCTTAAAGTACTTGCTATTAGTCATTATACTCCCTGTTCTATTTACACTTTAAACCTCTCCTTATTAGTACTTTCACCTTATTTGCAGTTACCAGTACATCATATGAAAAAATAATTATCTCTAGGTATTAGGCAATCAGTTGTATAAAAAAATACCAAGTATAAAACTTTGATTGTGAAATTCAAACACTAAACATTTGTACATCAAAATTTCACTTCTTTTAAAAAAAGAAAGATAAAAGTCTTACAGACTTTCTTTTTTGAGCAGAATTGTAGTAAGAAGTATTTCATTATACAAAATTTCTAGAATACCAAGCAGTTGAACTCTTTCTAGGAACATATATAAGCTGCTGATCCTCTGTGGCTTGGATGGCATCAGGAGGAAGCACATCTGAGATCCGGTCGTGTACAGCTGCCAGTGAAGTTGGATGCCCTTCTAGAGTTACTGTTGTGTGGGGAGAAGTTTCAGGGAATCCCTGCTCTAGCTCTTCCTTGAGGGTATTCATACCTTTTGCAAGTAGGAGCTGGTTGTGAACCTGAGGAATTTGTGTATGAGATTCCTGAAGATCAAAATTGCTGTCTTCGTAGGGTTTCATCTCCCCATCTCCATATGCTTCCATATCTTCAGGGAACTTTCTATCTATGGCATGCCAGCTTTCATCATATTCTCTGTCATTATCTTCAAATGCCAAAGAATCTTCCTGGTCTTGTTGCTGTTCATTTGTCTCAGCAACTGTATCTTGCTTCTCATTCTCATGTTCTTCCTTTGAGCTCATCTCTAGTGATTTATTACTTTTCTTCACCAAGGAGGATTCTGATCCACCTAACTGGTCAACAGCCGTCAGTTCATCTATTCCTTCTCCCTCTGACTCACTGTCTACATACCTTCTTGTTCTCTGCAGACGTTTGGGTCTGCTTCTCTTTACTGGTCTTACAGGCGACTTTGCAGCCTTTTTTGACTTACTAATCTTTTTGTTGTTTCCTGTCTTACTGCCCCCTTTTTTGTTGCCTCCCGGCTTACGACCTGGCTTTTTTGCATCTGGCTGTCTAACCCTGTTCTTGTATCCATTGTTGCCACAGTATTTTTGCTTATGTTTGGAAAGGTATGAGGAAGTTTTGAAAGATTTGTCACACTTCACACATCTGTAAGGCTTTTCACCAGTATGGACCCTCTCATGTGTCTGCAAGCCTGATCTTGATATAAATGCCTTTCCACACTGGCTGCACTTGAAATTACGTTCACCTGTATGAATTTTCCTGTGAGTGGCTAGACATGAACTCTGAGCAAATGTGGCATCACATACATCACACACAAAGGGTCTCTCCCCAGTGTGTGTCCTCATATGATTTTTCATAATCTGGTTGGTTGCAAATGATCGGCCACACTGAGGACAATTAAAAGGTTTTTCCCCAGTGTGTGTTCGCATGTGTCCTGGTAGATGGGAAGACCGCGCAAACGTTTGACCACATATTCCACACATATAAGGCCGTTCACCGGTATGTACACGTTTATGACTCCGCAAATTTGAGCGTTGTGTGAAAGACAAACCACATTCCTCACAAACATAAGGCCGTTCACCTGTATGTATTCTCATGTGATTTCTTAGATTTGCTCCACAAGCAAAAGTGGCACCACACTCTTGACAAGTAATCTTCTCCCCTAAAGCTGGGCGTGCTCTTGGCTGAAGCCCAGGATTTAGTGTTGGTGGTGTTTCATCTTGACTAATCTGTGTCTCATCAACAACAGGACTGTGAAGGTTACGAGGGTCCTGCACATAATGCACACCCCCAGTTGATATCTGTGGTGTGGTATAGTGCATGTGCAATTGTGGAATAAACTGCCGACTAACCTCCACCCCTCCCAATTCCATGGGAGGAATCTGAGGATTTCCCAGTAACTCCCCAAAGGCATTACAATTGGTATACCAATTGACCCCCGAGGTAGGGGCCAAGTGGTCCATCTTGAGGTGCCACAACACTCCCTGCCCTCACTCCATTTTCCACCTCACCGCGCCATGACTGTCGGGTTACGTGGCACCTGTAATTATATACTCAGAATTAGCACCCATACCTGACATGGACTCCTACATGATGATGAATTTGATAGCTTATTCGAGTTTTACTCATTTCGCCTTCCCCGTGTTCAGCTGATCAACTGATGTCTACCCATCTGGAATTTTGACTCAATACATCCCCTCCCACTTCAACAGGACTTAATAGATAAAATATGAGATCCATTTTCATTTATAATGCCAAACCAGATTAAAGTAATGGTGCCATGTAAACCGAAGTCAGTATTGTGTCAGAACTATCAAAAACTACTATTCCAACAAAAT